TGTATGGTAGATTGAGTTGGCGGCAGGGTAAGAGACTTGAGGTTGTCGCAATAGATACCATAAGTATCAGTAGAAGGTAGATCCTTGGAGGGAGAGGAGATGGGAAGACCGTCAGCGATCCATGTCTGCACCTCCTGGCCATCTTGATAGAAGGTACTTCCTCATGACATGAGGATGTATCAGCAACTCCTGGCGTTCAATAAGTTTTGCAACTTCAATATAAGACCAACTCGCAGAATATCTTTTGCACTTTTATTTTTCAATATAATCTCCATTCACCTCAATACACTTATTCCATTTGTCCTTCAAGCTTTTAATACCGCTTTTATAGAATCCGCAGATTGGCCCCCTAACCACACCTCCTTGGCAGCCTTTACGTCCTCATCATCCAGGAAGCGTCTTCCACGTAGGGCAGATTTCATTTGCTGGAACAGGAAATAGTCACTGGGGGCTTAGTCTGGGCTGGAGGGTGTGTGATTTAACTGTTCAAATCCACATTCACATATGGCGGCCTGTGCAATTCTCGACTTGGGAACCGGAGCGTCATGCAAAAGTAGAATACCACATGTTAACATCCCACGGCATTTCTGGCGAATAGATTTTCGCAATTCTTTCATCACATTGACATAATACTGTCCATTGATTGTAGTTTTTGGTGGCATGTAATCAATCAGTAATATGCCTCTTGCATCCCAAATTATGGGGGCCATTACCTTGCCAGCCGATGGTTGAGTGTGAAACTTCCTCGGAGGCAAAGAATTGGGGTGCTTCCATTGCATGGATTCCAATTTAGTTTCTTGGTCCCAGTGGTGGATCCATGTTTCATCACCTGTCACTAGACAAGAAAGAAATCTGGCTTCTTCAGCAGTATAGAGATCCAGGAGGTCTCAACAACTTTCTGTTCTCTGATGGCGATCTTGAGCTCTGAGGTTTCTAGGTACCCATCTTGCAGATACCTTGGACATACCAAGATGCTCATGAATAATGGTTACTACAGTTCCAACTGATATTTGGAATTCCCTAGAAAGTTCAGATACTTTCACTCGTCGGTCAGACAAAATTCTTCTTTCTATAGCAGCAAGGGTTTCCGGTTGGGTGGTATCTCAAGGCCTGCCTGACCTTTGGTCATTAACTATGGACTCCCTACCCCTTTTAAACTGTAGAGACCAACGGCAAACTGTGGAATAGTCAGGAGTATCTTTACCCATCACTTTACACATGCGATCATGGATTTCTTTTGCTGTGCATCCCTCCTTTGTGAGGAACTTTATTACAGTGCATGGTTATGATTGAGAGAATCCATGATTGTGACCATCCTTAGGTGAATGAAACCATCACTTCTAACTTATTGTTGTGTCTGGAACTTGTTATGACACATGTCAACCTGATGTTATGACTAGTGTCACACCTGCCACAAGTTGACATTGTTTGTGTAGACAGAAATGCCCAAGTTGCAAAACTTATTGAACGCCCCTAGTATTTCCTCATGACATGAGGATGTATCAGCAACTCCTGGTTGTCGTAGAGAGAAGATATTTCCTCATGACATGAGGATGTACCAACAACTCCTGGCTGTGTAGATAGAAGGTACTTCCTCATGACATGAAGATGTATCCGCAACTACTGGCCGTGTAGATAGAAGGTATTCCTCATGATGTGAGGATGTATCAGCAATTCCTGGTTGTCGTAGAGAGAAGATATTTCCTCATGACATGAGGATGTATCTGCAACTCCTGGCTGTGTAGATAGAAGGTATTTCCTTATGACATGAGGATGTATCTGCAACTATTGGCCGTGTAGAAAGAAGGTATTCCAAATGACATTAAAATGTATCCGCAACTCCTGGCCTTGTAGATAGAAGGTACTTCTTCATGATGTGAGGATGTATCCGCAACTCCTGAACGTGAAGATAGAAGGTATTCCTCATGACGTGAGGATGTATCAGCAACTCCTGGTTGTCGTAGAGAGAAGATATTTCCTCATGACATGAGGATATATCCGCAACTACTGGCCGTGTAGATAGAAGGTACTTCCTCATGACGTGAGGATGTATCAGCAACTCCTGGCCGTGTAGATAGAAGGTACTTCCTCATGACGTGAGGATGTATCAGCAACTCCTGGTTGTCATACATAGAAGGTATTCCTCATGACATGAGGATGTTTCAGCAACTCCTGGCCATGAAGATAGAAGGTACTTCCTCATGATGTGAGGATGTACGTATCAGCAACTCCTGGTTGTCGTAGATAGAAGGTATTCCTCATGACTTGAGGATGTATCAGCAACTCCTGGCCGTGTAGTTAGAAGGTATTCCTCATGACATGAGGATGTATCCGCAACTCCTGTACGTGGAGATAGAAGGTACTTCTTCATGATGTGAGGATGTATCAGCAACTCCTGGCCGTGTAGATAGAAGGTATTCCTCATGACGTGAGGATGTATCCGCAACTCCTGTACGTGGAGATAGAAGGTACTTCCTCATGACGTGAAGATGTATCCCAGCTCCTGGACGTGTAGATAGAAGGTACTTCTTCATGATGTGAGGATGTATCAGCAACTCCTGGCCGTGTAGATAGAAGGTATTCCTCATGACGTGAGGATGTATCCGCAACTCCTGTACGTGGAGATAGAAGGTACTTCCTCATGACGTGAAGATGTATCCCAGCTCCTGGACGTGTAGATAGAAGGTACTTCTTCATGATGTGAGGATGTATCAGCAACTCCTGGCCGTGTAGTTAGAAGGTATTCCTCATGACATGAGGATGTATCCGCAACTCCTGTACGTGGAGATAGAAGGTACTTCCTCATGACGTGAAGATGTATCCCAGCTCCTGGACGTGTAGATAGAAGGTACTTCTTCATGATGTGAGGATGTATCTGCAACTCCTGGCCGTGTAGATAGAAGGTATTCCTCATGACATGAGGATGTATCAGCAACTCCTGGCCGTGTAGATAGAAGGTATTCCTCATGACGTGAGGATGTATCTGCAACTCCTGGCCATGTAGATAGAAGGTATTCCTCATGACATGAGGATGTATCAACAACTCCTGGTTGTCATAGATAGAAGGTATTCCTCATGACATGAGGATGTATCAACAACTCCTGGTTGTCATAGATAGAAGGTATTTCTTTATGACGTGAGGATGTTCCAGCAAAAGAAGGCTCAAACACATACTCTTCCTGTAAGGCGTGAGGGTTTGGAGTGAGGAGAGCAATGAGAAGTGTGCGACAAGTCGTCAGAGACAAGAGTAGATGTGGTAGACGGAGTAGGTGCATTGTTGAGCATGTATTGTTGGTGCATAGCAAGGATCACTTGCTGAGTAACATTAACTACAATGTCAATGGATGAAGGAGGCATGATACTTTGCTTATAAAAAGAAGGTTGTGTGAACATAGGAGGCTGCACGAACGACCGTGCTGTGTAAATGCTGCAGCCTGCGTAAACGGTGTGGGTTGCGTGAATGGCAGGGGTTGAGTGAAGGTCTGAGGCTGAGTGAAGCCCTGCATCTGGGCAAAAGTCTGGGGCTGCGTGAAGTCCTGGTCCTGTGTGCAGGTCTGCATGTGTGATACCTGTGAGAGGTTCACTAGCACAAAGGATCTGTCTGTCATCATCTGAAGAAATTGTTACCTTACTTTTCTTCTGTTTATGTGTGATAATACTAGCTGCTTCTACAGAGGTAGAAGTTATAATATGCTGAAGAAAGGTTTGAAGTAGATACAACAAGAGTTTGCCACTAACGTGGCTATATCCCCCGCCCTGTTGCAGAATTTATGACATAATTAAATCTAAACAAACCCTAACCTTTTTTAACCGAGGTGGAACTTGTCATGGAAATTGTAAAAAAAAAAAAGAACCCTACCCTCACAGAACCTAAGTCCATCTTGTTGCCATGGAAATGTAAAAAATAAATATTTCTAAAATTTCTAAATAGCAAAAGGCACCAGTTCAGCATGTACCTGACAGACCTGCAAAGTTTCATGAAAAGATATTGAACGGTTTATGAGTTATGCTCCGGAAACGAACCCTACCCTCACAGTACCTAAGTCCATCTTGTTGCCATGGAAACGTAAAAAATAAAAATTTCTCAATAGCAAAAGGCACCAGTTCAGCATGTACCTGACAGACCTGCAAAGTTTCATGAAAAAATATTGAACGGTTTATGAGTTATGCTCCGGGAACGAACCCTACCCTCACAGAACTTAAGTCCATCTTGTTGCCATGGAAACGTAAAAAATAAAAAATTCTAAAATTTCTCAATAGCAAAAGGCACCAGTTCAGCATGTACCTGACAGATCTGCAATGTTTGATGAAAAAATATTGAACGGTTTATGAGTTATGCTCCGGAAACGAACCCTACCCTCACAGAACCTAAGTCCATCTTGTTGCCATGGAAATGTAAAAAATAAAAAATTCTAAAATTTCTAAATAGCAAAAGGCACCAGTTCAGCATGTACCTGACAGACCTGCAAAGTTTGATGAAAAAATATTGAACAGTTTATGAGTTATGCTCCGGAAACGAACCCTACCCTTACAGAACCTAAGTCCATCTTGTTGCCATGGAAACGTAAAAATTAAAATTTCTAAAATTTCTCAATAGCAAAAGGCACCAGTTTAGCATGTACCTGACAGACCTGCAAAGTTTGATGAAAAAATATTGAACGGTTTATGAGTTATGCTCCGGAAACGAACCCTACCCTCACAGAACTTAAGTCCATCTTGTTGCCATGGAAACGTAAAAATAAAAATTTCTAAAATTTCTCAATAGCAAAAGGCACCAGTTCAGCATGTACCTGACAGACCTGCAAAGTTTCATGAAAAAATATTGAACGGTTTATGAGTTATGCTCCGGAAACGAAACGTGACGGACGGACGGATGGAGCCCGTTTCTATATCCCCCGCCAACTTCGTTGGGCGGGGGATAATAAAACCAAAACTATTCATTTTGATAGAATGGCTTGGATTATGAGAGCACAGAAGGTGTTGTATAAAGGTGAACTTACATTTCTGAAGTGACACTGAAGTTGCCAGATCCTGACCTCCTCCCTCTGCTTGAGGCATCAACTAGAAATAGAAAAGTGCTTCATCATAAGTCTGTTACAAGTACGATCTTGAATGTTTGAATCCCATTTACAGTTTCCACTATTATAAATATATACTGAAATTCAAAAGAAATGCAAGTGAAGATTCAAATAGTTCAGTTGTTTATTTTTGAGAGATGAAGCATACACTTGGGTAAATGTCAGAGGTAAACACACATGGCACACACTATTCTCACATTTCAATAAACACTGATGAACAATTAGAGGCAAAGTTGCATTCTAACTACAGGCAGTTTGAGGCAGTTTGACTATTAAATGTCCACATAACGTTTTCACAATCGAAATACATGTAGTGCGGGAAGTCCCTATGGTGACTGGTCAAAAATTTTCCATATGTAAAAAAATATCCTGCATACCATCTGAACCAAAGTGCAACGCTTATGGTTCTTATAATTCTATATATACATGGTGGAAGCTGCAACTAAAATAACACAATATTGGAATATATTATTCCTGATAAAATAATAATTTCAGATACAATTTCTTCCGGCCATTGCATCAAAAGTCTTTGAAGTTGTATCATTGGGTATTTTTTAACTGAATCACCGGTAGATTGGGAGGAAACGTGTGCACAGCTGATTGCCACTTCCAGCTTAGTTTACAAGAAAATACACACGGTAATCTTAATCTCTGCATATAACAACAATGTCTTGGAGAGCAGGAAATACATTTTAAATGGTGTATCATCATGTCTAGTGATGTTTTATATCAAATTTCATACTCTTATTGACCAAGTTTGTTATACCTGTTTATTCACCTGAGTTCACTGAAGGGATATGTGTTGTTTTTTTAAAGTGTATATTAATACTTGATAAATCTTTTTTTACACTATGAATCATAACAACTTCTATTCTAATCTTTTTTGAGACTCTGAAACGTGCAACGTAGATCGTGTTAGGTAGGCAGAGCATGTATACTGTTTTGTTGCTCATCTACCACCTACGACTCAACTTTCGTTAAACCGCTGATCATGTACAACACTCATCAATTATTTGGACCCCGAAGGTAGCGTTGTAGCGAGGGATCACTGTAGAACCATAAATGAGATTCAGTAGCATGTGATCACCATCTGCCTTCACTACAGCATTACACCTTCATTACATGAAATGAATTAGCACTTTCATAAGCACAACGTTCACAGCGTTTTCCACACCACACATCACATTCAAACTCTGCCATCAGCGTGATAAATGCATACACTATTTTCATCCAAGAACATAGCCCATCTCCACTGTTGACAATACCAGTATGATGCAAAGTAGCCCATTGCATACAGTTCTGTCGGTCGGTGCCTAGGTCTGGGATGGACTACAACAACTGAGGTGGTTTGATGCAAGCTGGCACCTCACAGTACCACCACGGGCACATCGGGCACTTGTTAATGTGATAGTTTGTTGTGCTGTTTGGGTGGCCAGCAGAAACTTCTCAGGGAGATGTAGGTGATAGATGTGCTGGTATGGTCATAGAATAATGGCTCTTTGAACATGCACGGGAGGTCAGTAGTATACAGTTGGTTGTCGCATAACGGTCTTTAAGACGTTATATGTATATTGAAAACATGAGTAAAATTCTCAACACTTTTGCCAGATTGATACCTTAGAATCCACCCCATGACTGGATGAGGTGCTGCGTATTGGAGGCTTGCAATATCAAGGAACTCATAAAAAATGGATCTTAACTCATAAAATGGACATCTTACCATTACAATCCATGAAATAAATTAAAATTGCTCTTAAAAGAAAAACTAGAACTATTACAAAAACTTGTGTTTCTTTTGTGTTTCAGTGCATGTCTACTGTCTTAAAATATCCTGTATTCCTGTATGTGTTTGGATTGAAAAAGAATAAAATGTATGAAACAATAACATTAATCTTAGCACTTTTATAAGATTTAATAAGTTCAATAAACAATTCTATACTAATGGAAAAAAGTAACTGTGCTTCATATTAAGTGGCGTAAAATGTTGTTATTGAAAATAATTACGTACTATTTGGTCATTCGTCTGATCAATGGGTTATCATAACAAATTCATTGACAACCCCTATACAAGGTAACAGGAGACACACCCTAAAAGAGGGGTGGTATAACAACTTAAATAACAATGACACTATCCACTGTGACCATCATTTGCATTGACCTCAAAAAGATTTAGGAAGGTAAACACTCAGTGAGTTGGAGAAATTCTAACTTTGCTAAGTAACTGATAAGTAATAATAAGTGACTGAATGTTTAGCACATTCTACAATATCTGTTAAGGTGGTAACGTTGATTGTAGAGATGATAGTTTGAGTCTGGATCTTGAAAAAACAAGTCCTGTTGTACGAGCCATGTCAAAATCTTTCACTGCTGACAGCGGTTAAAAACAAGAAGAAATAAAGGCAGATATTGCCATTTCTCAGTGGAACAGTGGGAAAATAACGGAATAAGAAGTCATTTGAAGCAATTAGAGGTTTTTTCATGATGAATTTGATAACAGAAATATGGTGCCCAGTCTGCATCTCCTTGAAGGGCAATGCACGGGGATTCTATAACAGTCTACCCAATGCTCATCAAGAAAGCTACGAGGACGCAAGTAAATCATCGATAAGGAGGTTTGGGAAGGAACAAACTGTGCACAAATTTCAATTGGATTCAGCAGATAGAATGCAGAGAGAAGGTGAGACACCATAAGCATAATGATTTGCAATGGAAACATTGTGTAAGAAAGCATTCCCTGACATTAAGGAACTAGAAGACTAAGAGTCACTTGTACTTGCACATTTTAGGAAGGCATTAAATGTTTATGTCTGGGTCTGAAGAAGCTGTGCCAGATGAAGTTGTCAAAAGAAAGAATCAAATATTTCAGGAAACAAATTCTCCAACTGTTGGTGTGGTATCTGGGCAAGATGAGGATCAGATATGATGGAAAGGAAGGGAATAACTGCTAAACTGGAGGAACTTACACTAGATCAGCGATCATGGTCAGAAACAGTCGTAGCAATAGTGATCTGACAACTGCAGGAAATATGTCAAAAACAGTCAGTGCAAGGGATTGTTCAAGGAAATTCACAGGTCAATGTCACAAGTTGTGGAAAGTTTGGACATAAAGTTGTCAAACAGGAGTATGAGCTACCAGGGAAACTATTAGAGACTGGGTTTGGTGAGAAGACATCTAAAGAAAGAATTGTATCAGCTGCTGTTGTGGAAAATGTGGAAAAGTGAATATAAGTGGGGTGAGGTGTTTAGGGTTGTTTGAAGCTGGAGCTCAGATAAGTGTGATTACAGAACTTTAAGCAGCTCAGGTTAGAGGGAGACTACATGGATCAAATTTCTCACCAAGGACTGTTAATGGTGAGAAAATGTCAGTTGCTTTTGATGCTACTACTGACTAGAACGTTGGTTCAAACTATGTTGTGTCACACAGATTCACTGTGGTAAGGAAGTCAGCCTATCCAGCAATGCTTGGAATGGAAGTCACTTCCAAACTGGGTGCAAAGTATACATTAGGGAATGGTACAATTGATATTCTATGTGGAAAGAGAAATGTTTCAAAGAATGGTACATCAAATGCACCCCAGGTCAACTTGATATATGCCATAAAGGATGTTAATTTATTTCCATGAGAGATTGTTGTGGTACATAGTACAGTGGGCAATGGAGATAGCAAGTCAGGGACAGTAGGCCTGATTGAACCGCTTGATTTCGCGGTTCAGGAAGATTTGGAATAGGATGTGGTCAGGTGTTGGACAAAGGGTGATACACATGACAAATACTCAATAACAGGGGTAAATATGAACATGGGGAACTGTGATAGGAACATTTGCAACAGATCTGGTAGATGATCCTAGCATTCCCGGGGAAGCAAGCAAGACATCACATGAAATGAGAGAGAAAGTTGATAAAATGTTGAGAGTTTTATCTAACAATTCTGACATTTCAGCAGATAAACAGCATTGTCTGTACAACATCATCAGGCATAATTCAGATGTATTCTCAGTTGATGCTGAATTGGGATGAACTAATGTAATTGAACATGCAATGCCAGTGGCTCAGACTCCAGGTCGGCTACCTCATAACAGACTGAAAGATATTGAACAGTTTGTTTAGGAAAGTCCAGACAAGGATTGATCAGGCCAAGCAACAGTCGTTGGGCAAATAGGATAGCTTGGGTTGGGAAAAGTGACTCATCTACAAGATATTGCACCAATTTACATACAACGGTTGAAGACAGTTTTCCCATCCCAAGAATTGAGTTCGGCAGATCTCAGTCAGGCCACAGTGTTCACTACCTTGGTTATGAAGAAGGGCTATTACCAGGTCTCATGAAAAAAGAGGATAAAGCCAACACTGCGATTATGTGACACAAGGGAGTGTTTGAATTCAACGTGATGCCATTTGGCCGGAAGGGAGCACCTCAAACATTCCAGAGAACGCTGTTGATTATTATTGGTGATCTTAACTGGGAGATACTTTTGATTTATCTGGATAACATCATCATATATTCCAGAAGTGTCCTGGAACACATTCAAAAAGTGTTTGAGAGGTTATGATGGGCAGGACTGAAGTTGAACGCAAAGAAATGTATGTCAGCCAAGACAAGAGTTAAGTACTTTGGCCATATTCTAGATGTCACAAGGATATGCATGTACCCAACAAACATATCAGCAAATAAACAATTTCCTCATTCGGAAAATGGGACTGACGTCACCGATTTGTGAAGGATTTTGATGATGTTGTTCGACCACTGATTCATCTAACAGAGAAGAATACTCCATTCATATGGACTGAACTGCTGCTACACTCCTATCTTATCCTGATTTCCAGGTGAATTTGAGATGGAAACAGATGCAAGCAATTATGGGTTGAGGCAATACTAACTCAGAAGGTGAGAGTTATTGAATACTTAACAAGTTCTGCACGGAAATGTGGATGTTCTGGAGAAGTAGTACAAGTAATGATGGTTCTGGACCACTTCCACTGGAG